TACTATTATTTCTTGTATGAATAAGAGAAGGGGGAGATAAGGAGGAGGAGATTGTTGGGCGAAGAAGAAGAGCCTTGTCATCATCTTTGCTGGTGTACTTCTTCTTCTTCTTCTTTCTCAATTCGTCTTCTTCTTCTACTCCTCTCTCTCCTCTCAAGTTCATTCATTTCTTTCTGCAATGGGATGGCATTGTACTTCTCAGTGGATGTGTATCTTGAAATTGGTCAGGGTCATAACAGCGCTCTTAATATTCCTCCTGATCAGCCAGATCAACCGGGTGTGAGGCTCGTTCCGTACGAGGGTAAATAAGAGTGGACTGGCTGGCTCGCTCGGTAACGACTTGGGCACAGGGGTGGGCCGACAAACACACGAAAGACACCGCTGCTCAATGATGTTGTTCGGTATGTTGGATTGAGGGGAAGGCCCGAAAGGGTAGGTTCTAATTGATGCTCAACTGGAAACACAACCATATCCACTAGTCATACATCTGCAACATGGTCTTCTTTTATTCTTGATTAGTTGGTGGACAGACTGCTAACACCTCACTGAGAGATTAGAGTAGGACTGTTGTATACTACCATAGCCAGTTCTATCTAATGTTGATGTAAGTGAGCCAATCAAGATACATCTAGAGTATGTTGACAATCTGTTGTGAATGTTGTAGATTGCCATTTGATCTGTAAAATAGGGGACCTTTCGGACACAACTATTTTTAGAAAATTAGGTGTCGCTCAGACACATGCTGTGGTAGGACACCACTAGGGGGTTCTAGTGCAAATAATGTTTGCCTAATTCATGAACAGGTAAGACGTTGATGAGGAGAGAGTTGACGATGCAAGACTGACACGTTCGGGATCACCTAGGATGCCGCACGTGTTCCAGGCTCTAGAACCGGGAGAAGAAAGACGGCTTCGTGCCGAACGCAGAGCCCGTGCACTAGCAGCAGCTAGGGAAACAGCGAACGCCACAGCTAGGGAACAGGCTGCAGCAGCAGCCAGAGCATTAGCCATGTCTTCTGCAGCAGCATCCTCGGTTGTGTCCTCGTATGGGACCAATGGGACCATGTTGGGAATGCCCATAGGGTCCACGGGTACTTCCAGTTCAATAGGTTCTTGGCAATCTACAAGTCAAATGGCGGGTTCGCAGTTCAACCCGTTGACTCCTCGCGAAAGGGAGCTTAGAGAGCTCCAACAGGTCGAAAGGATCCGTGAACGATTAGAGAGGGAACTGAAACAGGCTACCGACAGAGAAAGAGAGATCAAAAACAGAACAGCCAGGCTTGATGCGTTAGAGGCTGACAAGGCTGAGCTAGAGGGTTTGGATGAGTCAGCAATGTCTGACCAAATGAAAAAACTGAAGAACAATATGTTGTCGTTGCATGCGCACGTGGACAGCAGATTGGACTTTATGCAAAACATTCTAGACCAGATCCTGGACATTTTGCAAAGGCCAGGATTTAGGCCACTATCATAGTCACCGTTGCTGTTAACGGCGATGTCAGACCCCTTTCTAATTCAAGCTGGCACACAACCAAGTGGCACGTCTGCAGCAGCTGCACAGACTGTTGCTTCTTCTTCTTCGGGTCCGGCGGTGGGTGCTACACCACCGCAACAACCTGTTCCTCAACAGGGACAGCCACAAGGTCAATGGTACCCTAAGACCCCAATGAAACCGCCTCTTGCCTTCTCAGGCGAGAGGAAGGACGAAGAACTCAACACTTGGTTGAGAACAGTTCCGGTTTGGGTGAAGGCGAAGAGGACCTTGCCAGAGGACGAAGTGGTTACTGTTGCATCTTACCTCGAAGGTAAGGCAGCCAAATGGCTAGATGGTATAGTTGCAAAGGCCGGGTATGGACGACGTACGGCGGACTGGGCTCAGTCTATTACGTTAGACCAGTTCTTTGAGATCGTAGAAGCTCGCTGGCACAATCCTCAGCAGGCACAAATAACCACTGATGTGATAAACAGACCAGGTCAAAGAAAGTCTAAGTCAGTCAGAGAGCTTACGACTACTATAGATATCCTCATCGTCGTTCCAAGCATCAACTACAGTGACCAGTTCCTATTGACTACGTTTGTTAGATGTCTTCCAGAGAACCTCAGGAACTTGCTGGCCAGCGAGGCTCGCCTCGAGTACCATTCGTTTGAGACATTGTCTAGAAAAGCCTTAGACTTAGAGGCTACACTAGGAAATGCTCAACCCTCTCAGAATGATGCGAGGATGAAGAAGAGTCCGCAGGAATGGAAGAAAAAGGAAGCCAAGTTGATGATGGTTGAGTCCGATGGGACTCAAACAGAGATCGATGAGCTCACAGACCTGCTGGACGTTTCAGAGTACGACGGCGAGGAGACCGCTGAGGGTAGCACCCTCGCCGCAGTAGTCAAGGCTAAGGCTGGTGGCCGAGTGAAGGGCCAACCAAAGGGTCAAGGGAAGGCCGCCTCCAATCAGACCAAAGAGGCTGATTGGGTCAAGGCAGGTCTTGATCAAGACGTGTGGCGGGACCGCCGAGTTCGTGGCGCTTGTATAAATTGTGGTGAATACGGACACACCCAGTACAAGTGTCGGAACGTAAAGGTCACGCAGAAGATACCTCCTAAGATGGGGGCATCTTCTTCCCAGGCTTCTAGCTCGGGAAACATATGAGGCCGGTGGAAGTTTTAGCTGCTTCTACTCAAGTTGAAGTGGGTCTGATACCCTCCCCACTTCATGAGCAGGCCATAGCTAATGACACCTTAGTCACCCCGCAGACTCATCCTGACCAAACTATGCTCTGTACGTTGGATGTGTCTGAAGCCTTAGAAGATCTCGAAAGTGAGTGGTCAAACAAGGACCCTCGCGAATCTTGGGTGGCGCTAAGGAAAGGTCCTAGAGGGGAACATTTCGTGGTGGAAGTCGATGTAGGAGGCCGCATGTGTGGTGCCTTCATAGACATAGGCTCCACGCGGAATTACATAAGTCACGACTGTTTGGAAAGGTTGCACCTACAGGACCGGGTACGACACCTTAGTAGACCGGTAGCATCTACTTTGGCCAACAAGGAGCGCATGATAGTCACAGACTATATCAAGGACGTAGTCTGTACCTTCTCCTATGGAGGATGAGAACTTAATCATAAGATTTCGTTCTTGGTTAGCGACGACTTACCATTCGACATGTTGTTACGCATGTACTACCTTGAGGTTGCTAAGCCCCAGTTCGACTGGGATAAGAAGGTGCTAAGGCATAAGTTGCCCGATGGCAGGACAATCAGATTGACTAAGTTCAAAGCCAGTAGCATAATAGATACCTATAGCAGCTTGTGCGCATCAACGTTCTATACCTATTATAAACAGAACCAAGAGGAAGGTATGTACCTTGTGTATGTCTCTGAGAAAGGGGAGGCCGTTAAAACACCCCCAGAGATAGAACGCGTCGTTGCTAAGTTCTCTGGTCTGTTCGAAGAGCCTACAGGAGTTGTAGAAAGGGAAGTTGTCCACGCTGTAGAAATCATTCCAGGTAGTAAAACCCCAAAGGGAAGGATCTATAGGATGGCTCCCGCCGAGTTAGATGAACTTCGGCGACAACTCAAAGAGCTGACAGAGAAGGGATGGATCTGGCCTAGTACTTCCCCTTACGGATCGCCAGTACTATTTGTACCAAAGAAGGGGGGTACATTGAGGATGTGCGTTGACTATAGAGGCCTCAATGCCATCACAGTGAAGAACGCAGAGCCTCTACCTCGCATAGACGACCTATTGGATAGGGTGCAGGGATGCAAGTACTATAGCAAAATAGACTTGAAATCCGGCTATCATCAGATCGCTATAAGACCTAAGGACTAACGCAAGACAGATTTTCAGACTAGATATGGTCTGTATAAGTTTGTAGTGATGCCCTTTGGTCTTTGCAATGCGCTGGGAATATTCCAGCACGCTATGAATCGGATCTTCCATGACCATTTAGATAAGTTTGTCATGGTTTACCTTGACGATATTTTGATTTTTAGTAAGTCTGTCGAGGAACATGCACATCACGTTCAGACTGTACTTTCACTCCTGCGACAACACACGTATAAGGTCGACCTAGAGAAGTGTGAGTTTGGTCGCACTAAGATATTATACTTGGGTCATGAAGTATCCGCAGAAGGGATTAGGCCGGAAGATGCGAAGGTGGCTAGTATTCGAGACTGGCCACGACCTCAAACAGTCACTGAGGTCAGATCTTTCTTAGGAATGTGCGGCTACTATAGGAACTTCGTAAAGAACTATTCTACAGTCGCCTCTCCTTTGACAGATCTAACTCGACTTGACACGCCGTGGGACTGGAGTGATGAGTGTGAGGGTGCTTTCAAACGATTGAAGCATGCACTCATGAATCATGAAGTTCTCATGGTTCCCAATCCTCAGAAGCCATTCATAGTGACCACTGACGCAAGCCAATATGGCATTGGCGCAATGCTGACTCAACATGATGGGAAAAGGTTGAGACCGATTGAGAACATGAGCAAGAAGATGCCATCGAAGAAACTGGCAAAGTCCACCTATGAAAGGGAACTCTATGCTCTCTACAAGGCACTTGTCCATTTGAGACATTTTCTGTTGGGACGGTTCTTCTACTTGAGAACTGACCATCAGACGCTCAAATGGATCAAGACTCAACCGGCTCTTTCTAATGCACTAGATTGAGGTCATAGATCAATATGACTTCAAGCTTGAGTATCTGAAGGGAGAGTACAACAAGGTTAAAGATGCGCTATCACGTAGGACAGACTACCTAGGGGCGCTAGTTTCTAACTTTGGTGTATCGGAAGAAGTAACTCAATCATTGGTGGGAGTCTATCAGGAAGACCCTGTCACGATGGAAATCATGCACAAACTTCAGGCAAAAGACAAGGCCACGGAAAGTCAGTTTGTGATGGTGGATGGGCTTCTTTATCTTGATAAGGCCGATGTTAAAAGGTTAGTAGTTCCATCTAGTGAACGTTTGCGTAGTTTGTTTTTAGGAGAATGCCATGACGCAACCGGACACTTTGGTTACAAAAAGACGAGTGTTAATCTAGTACAACGATTTTGGTGGCCTGGAATGCTAGATGACGCGAAGAAGTATGCAGAGACCTGTCAGGTCTGTCAGCGGGACAAGCTGCGAACTCAAGCACCGCTTGGGTTGCTGAAGCCCTTACCTATCCTCGCTGGTCCATGACAGAGTGTTTCCATGGATTTCATGGATACCCTGGTGACCAGCAAGAGTGGCAAGAGGCACATTTTCGTCATCATTGATCGATTCACCAAGTACGCTAGACTAGTTGCCATGCCAGAGACCGCAAGGACGGACCATGTCATCAAGTTGTTCCAGGACAACTGGGTGCGTGACTTTGGTTTACCAAAGACAATCGTTAGTGACAGAGATGTCCGTTTCACAAGTAAGTTGTGGAAGAAGACTGCTGAGCAGATGGGAAGTCAACTTCAGATGACTTCAGGGAATCATCCCGAAGCCAACGGACAGGCCGAGCAGATGAACAGAGTTGTACAGCACCTGCTGAGGCATTACATCAAGCCCAGCTAGGATGACTGGGATGAGAAGTTACCTCTCATCGCCAGCCTGTACAACAACGCTGTACACAGCAGTACCGACGTTAGTCCGAACCAGCTGCACTTGGGATGGAAGTCTAAATCTGCTCTAGACTTCCTCCTACCTGAAAATCGATCCTCTGCAACTCCAGGCACACTTGAGTATGGTTTGCAGTATGAGAAGTTGCTGCAGCAAGCTGTCGAGCACATCAAGAAAGCTCAGCAAGCAATGATTGCTTCTGAGAACAAGCATCGACGACATTCCTCATTTCAGGTAGGGGAACGTGTCTGGGTCAAGGCTAGCGAGCTAGGACAGGAATTCGGTATCTCTAGAAAACTAATGCCTCAGTACTTTGGTCCTTGGGAAGTCCTGGATGTAGTGGGGGATGAGATGGATGGTCCTACCTATGTTATCCGTATTCCTGGACACCTACGCACTTACCCCGTCTTTCATGCCTCAAAGCTTGCACCTTTTGCTGAGACTGATCAATTCCCTTCAAGGAGATCGATGCTGCCCCCAACCATGGATGGTCAAGTGGACATCGACGACATTGTGGATCACAGAGATCTGTTTGTTCAGAAGCCATTAGGTAGAGGAAGACCTCTGAAATCCAAGAGAGAATATCGCGTCAGATTCAGGCATCATACGGATCCGAAAGAAGACCGATGATTCACCAGAGAGGAACTGATTGACACAGCTCTTCAGGTGGTGGCAGAATATGAGAGGATGCTGAAAGGGAAGGCACCTGCGAAGTAAGCATCTCAGCGGACTTTCGAAGCTAAGGGGGATGGAATGTGAGGATTGAGCCCTCAAGAAGGGGCCTTGCCATGATGTACATGTTCTGGGCTAAGGCCCCAGCAAGCCTCGTGCCCGCCCTAAGTGAAGGCGGGCGCCTTATCTCAATCGTTTAGGTGGAGGCTAATCACACCATAAGTTGGTATGGTAAGTTTTATGCCTTATGTTTATTTGTTGAAAATGGTTGTATTGCGAAAGTTTGGCGAACACATAAGTTGCGGGTTATTCGGTCATTCGCACATATAATTTTGTCTAGGCTGGGCTAGACTACTCATAACTTGAGTAGCTTGGTTATATGTTATATATCACTGTTTGGGTTGGCTGGGCACATCATAAGTTGGTGTGTTCCAGTCATATGCCTTTTGTCGTTGTTCAGGCAAAGGTTGATTCCTCATAAGTTAAGGAGGTCCAGTTTCTTTATGTATGTCGAACGTTCAGGATGACCAGCCTCACCATAAGTTGGTGCGGCCCGGTCATACGCCTTATGTCAGTCGTCTAGGCAGAAACTAGTCACACTATAAGTTGGTGTGGCTTAGTCCTCTGCCTTACGTTTACTTGTTCTACCAGGCTAGGGCACCATAAGCTGGTGTGGCCTAGTCATATGAACTGGCAGGTCAGTCGCATCCATAAGTTGGGTTGGCTGATCCTATGTCTTATGTAAGGAAGGGTAAAAAAAATAACGAGGGATTTTGAATGAACTACGTGATCTGGGAAAGAACCTGAGGTTTGGTGAGAGATGTTGATGCGCTCACTTGTGTATGTTCTTGAGGATTATCTATGGGTGTTCTTTTTGATAGCTTAGTTGCTTTGGATGCTCGATGAGTGTTGGAGCTGTAGGTAGGTAAGATGCATGATATGAGTAAGTTTGGGATATGATAGGACTGACCTTACTGGAAGTTAGGACTAGTGATAGTTCATAATATCATCTTCAAAGGGGAATCATGTAAACTATCTCCAGTTCTAACTATCAAGTGAGTGTCATAAGTTAGTCTCAAGTATAGTTGTACTTTGTCTTTGCATTTTCAACTTTGTATAAATTTTGAGAGTCTCATGTTCGTACGGGAAGCGCTGCCAATTTTTTTGCAGATCTGAAAGAGTTAGTCATTTTTTGGATACCTGAAAATTTTGGAAAGACACTTTTCTTACGGGAAGCGCTGCCAAAATTTTGTAGAATTATATTATTTTATGTTAAGAAGAATTTGACATTCTATCCTATCTAGGGGAGATCCTGCCAAAATTTGCAGTAATTTCTGGAACCCATAGGAAGAAGGTGAGGGAGAAGTTAGTAGAGAAGTTAGGCCTACGACATAGAGCATGTTCTACTTAAACATAGTATTGGTCCGTTTTGGCCTGGTCTGTGATGTAGGTCTACGAATTTGATTGAAGGCTTGATTCGTTCGGCCTGATCCTACGAAAGTTTTCGGCTCAACTCTAATTGATTATCGCTACTCAACCTAAAGGCCTTAGCCCCTTTGGATTGAAATGTTTCTTTTTGGGGTTTTACCCGGACTTTATTGAATGACAATTTAAAAAGGACTGAGTGTTTTATTGTTGGAGGTTGCACAAAGGTTGGGGTCTTTGTGAATAAGACAAAGGGGTGTGAGTGTAGAGAATGGTTAAAGTTGACCCCGTGTAGTGTGTGCTCTGTCGATGTGGATGTTAAATGTGATTGCAGGTATGTTCTGTGAATTCAAATCTTGACTTGGTTTTGCCTATGATCATACATATATATATATATATATATATATATATTTTTAAGTCATATCGTGATTGTGAGAGTGATCGTCTTCTATCTCGTAACTTTTATATCATATTTTTGGTGCCCGCACGACCTATTGAGGTCGTGCGTAGTGATTAGATAAGTTCTGCCTTGAGAGAAAAAGAAGATCTCAGATCTCACTTTTACTTTTTGCATTTTAGAATCAGTATGGTTGGACGATGTAGTCCGTGGCAGCTGTCAAAGTAAAACCCCTTGATTTCTCTCTAGGCCCTTGATAATGGCGTTTGTCTCCAAAACCACGAGAGTTGACTGCCACCACAGTGCCGAGCGCATCGGTCCGGCACCGCACTAACGGGGCGGTACCCTCCCTGGCCTCGTAACGCAGGAGTTGGTTTAATCCTCGTCGCGAACACACATGGAGTTTCCACAAGCCGCTCCGGCCGAGCGCCCCAGCCATACCTCTCACGAGCCCCTACGACCGGATACGGCCAACGTGAGACACGACTTACCTCCACCTTACGGGAGTTGCCACCTCCCTTCGGTGGACGTATCCCCGCCAAGCGACTAGTCCACACTACGAAAGTTAATCAGTTGCAATCGCAGAGGTAGACTAGTCGAGGGTATTTCTCGTTCGCTGTAGCATAGGGGGTGCGTGAGGTTTTACGCCTCTATCGGACCCGTACGCGAATTGACGCCTTAGGGGGCTGAAGTCCCAAGCGTGGCTCGTTGTCGGTCGACTAGGACGCATCCCACTCACCACACGTACACCACAACACTAAGAACATAAAAATAAAATACACACACACACACACGCACAGAACGACACGTAACAAACAACACAACAAACAATACAAACAATCCTAGTCCCTTCAGTAATCATCCCATAACTCTTCGATGCGGAAATCGGATAGGCGTCGCGCGGGAGACTTAATATAAAACTGTGCGGAGGCAGGGTCTTCTCATATTGACTAGCAATGCATGAATACGCAAGCAGACACAATGATGGTGTACTATGTAGCGCCGATAATCATGTGGTCCCTCGGAGTCTCGAGGGCCGTATTCAACACTCAAGTGTCGGATGACACACGCCTTGAGGGGTCAATCTCTCGACGCTAAACAACCGCCAAGTGCGGTTGAGAACCACACCCTCTTCTGGACCCTGTGGAGAGTGGGTGGTACACGGGTTCATAAATGTGAAGGCAATCATCTCTTATCGCCCTTGATACCAACTCCATCATCTAGGGCCTGGAGAGGAATTAAGGGGTTTGACTTTGACGGCTGTCACGGACGACAACGTCCAACTATATAAAAAATTTAAATAAAAGCAAAGGATAGAAGGGGATCTCCCTTTTTTCTCAACGTATAATTTGTTTAACCCTTGCATACGGTCATAGTAAACCGCGCGAACACTGAAGTCATAAATATGTATTTATATAAATAAGAGTCATTAATAAAGGACGACCACTTCTCACAGTCACAGCGAGACTCCTCTCAGCCATATATGTATGAGATCACAGTCAGCCACATCAAGAGTCCGAACCACAAAATATATCTGCAATCACATCAAAGATTCAACCAAAACTCTACGCAATATATGGGGTTAACTTTAACCATTCTCAGCGCTCACACCCCTCGCTTTAGCCATACAAGCCTCACTCTGTGTGCAACTCTCAAAATAAAATACTTAGTATCTTTATTAAATCGTCATTCAAGTAAAGTTAGGGCAAAAACACAGCGAAACAATTCAAACCACATAGCTAAAGTCGTTAGGTTGAGTACTAGAAGCGGATTGCAGTTGAGTCGTAAACTGGCGAATCGGCAACTGATCTGTTATCAGTGATAACAGAAGATGATCCTCGTGGGATCAAGCTGAATCTAGCCCAAATTATGAATCAAGCGATCAAGAAGATATGTGACACAAGACACACCAATCCCTAAGCTAAACCTATAAGTCCATGAAAAATAACCTCCATATCACGGTCTCACTCAAACATCGTTCTTAATTAACTAAGTCTAAATTTATCCCTAAGCGGATACCTAAAGAAAAGGTAGACCCTGGTAGAATCTCCTTCATAAAGAGAGGATCGCCAGAATCGCCACATGTCAAAATATAATCTATCGCCACATGTCAAAATATAATCTATCTCCTTTAAACTAAAAAACTTTCGGCAACGCTTCTCGTAGGAAAAGTGTCTTCTCAGAATTTATACTCGTCTCAATATGATAACTGAAATCATCTTCAACTTTACAAACTCAAATTTTGTCTAACTCCATGAAGTAGCAAAAATTTGGGCAGCAGTCCCTTAAAAAAAGGAGACTTTCCAGATTTTTCCTAAGTCATATATAAAATTTAGACAAGGTGAACTTTGAAAAGTCAAATTTTGACCAACTCCTTCTATTTGCAAAAATGTTGGCAGCGCTTCCCGTAGAGAAAGTAACAGTCAAAATTATATAAAGCCAAGTATAAGAAAAGATCCCTGAAAATCCGAGAAATGACCTAAGTAAAAAGAACTTAGCTCAGAAAATGCAGGAATCAAAACCAACTCTTATCGCTCTAGCATGTGGCGAGCATCTAAAACATCTACCTGTCAACAAAAACTCAGACTAAGTAATAATCTCACTCAGCCACATGCAAGACCAAACCATAAAGGTAAGTACTCTCACCAACCAAAAGTCAATCTTATCAAACAATAGTTCATAGTCTTTCAATGATTTCTCTTTATACCCAACTTACATACGATATAAGGCTAGACCACCTAAACTTATGGAACATGTCAAGCTCAACTATTGAATATACACAAACACATGGCACTACAACTTTTCTCTTCCTTGGGCACGTGTGACTAGGCCACCCTTGTCGCCCTGAACTTTTTTAGTATCCAAGTTTTATAGTAAGTTGTTTATTAATTCCGGCCGGATTAAGTGACCGGAATATCCGGCCGCTTTATCCAGCACCATATTTATCCCGAATTCCGGATAAACCAAAAAATGATAATTTTTTTTTTAATTTTTTTTTTTTTTTTTTTTTTTGCGCTTGAGGATTCCAACAGGTTCAAATGTGGGATTTTTTTCTCGTCCTCCTCCTTGTCTGCCTCCTCCCTACTCCTCTCCTCGTGCTCCACCACTTCTGGATCTTTCTCCTTCTCCTCTTCTTGGTCGTCGTCGTCCTCCTCCTCCACCTCCTCCTCTTCCTCCTATTCTGCATCTTCTTCTTCCTCCTCCTCCCCTTCCTCCTCTTCGTCTTCCTCCTCCTCCTCGTCTTCTACTTCGTCTTTTTCCTTCTCCTCCTCCTCCTCCTCCTCCTCCTCTCCTTCCTCCTCCTGCTCGTCCTTTTCTAATTTTTCTTCTACCTCCTCCTCCTCCTCCTCTTCCTCCTCCTCCTCATCATCCTTCCTCTTCGTCCTCCTCTTCCTCCTCCTCCTCCTCTACCTCGCCATCCTTCCTCCTCCTCCTCCTCTTCCTCCTCCGCCTCCTCCTCCTCCTCCTCCTCGTCATCCTTCCTCCTCCTCCTCCTCGTAGGCCCTTTCCTCCTCCTAGTACTCCAATCTTTCGCTTCACTCGACAACACTTTTCAAGAGCTCCAAGCCTCTAACCATCGTCAGGGAAGCTTCAGAGGGAACGAGCTACAAAGCGGACCGATTAGGCTTTCGCCCCTATACCGCCCTGACCCACATTTTTTTCCCCCCTTAATCAATCAATCAATCAAAAAAAAAAAAAAAAAAAAAAACATTATAGGATTATCCAATCGAATCAATTGATTTGATTGAATTTTGATTTTCAAATCAAGAACCAATCAAATCGATCCATTCAATTGGATCAATCAATCAATCAATCAATCAATCAATCAATCAATCAATCAATCAATCAATCAATCAATCGATGGAAAAAAAAAATACAAAATGTTATCCAATCGAATCAATCGATTCGATTGGATCTTGATTCAAAAATCAAGATCCAATCGAATCGATTGATTCGATTGGATAACATTTTGTCTTTTTTTTTCATCGATTGATTGATTGATTAATTGATTGATTGATTGATTGAGGAGGAGGAGGTGGAGGAGTTGGTGGTGGAGATGGAGGAGGTGAAAGCCGAGGAGGAGGAGGAGGAGGAGGAGGAGGTGGAGGCTCACCTTCAGCGATAGGTAGAGAAGGAGCAGCTCCCGGCGATGGCTCCAACGGCGGCGGTTATGCCTGCAACAGCGGAACGGGTGGAGGAACAGGAGGAGGAGGAGGAGGAGGAGAAGGAGGAGGAGGAGGAGGAGGTGGAAGACGAGTAGGAAGAGGAGGAGGAGAAGGTGGAGGAGGTGAAAGCCGAGGAGGAGGAGGAGGAGGTGGAAGGTCATCTTCAACGACGAGTAGAGGAGGAGCAGCACCCGGCGATGGCTCCAGTGGTGGCAGCTATGCCTGCGGCAGCGGAACAGCGGGAGGAAGAGGAGGAGGAGGAGCAAAGGGAGGAGGAGGAGGAGGAGGAGGAGGAGGAGGAGGAGGAGGAGACTCACCTTCAACGACGAGTAGTGGAGGAGGAGCACCCGACGATGGCTCCAACGGCGGTGGCTATGCCTGCAGCAGCTGAACAGCGGGGCAGCGGGCAGCAAGCAGCAAGGCAGCGGGCAGCGGGGCAGGGGGCAGCGCCCAGCAGGGCAGCGGGGCAGGGGGCAGCGCCCAGCAGGGCAGCGGGGCAGCGAGCAGCGAACAGCAGGGCAGCGGGGCACCGAGCAGCGAGCAGCAGGGCAGCGGGGGAGCGACCAGCAGGACAACGAGCATTGGGGTAGCAAGCAGCGGGGCAGCATGATTTCAAATTCAAAATTGGCCTGATCTGAACCGTCGATCTTGGTGGACCGACGACCGATATCGGACCTTTTTTTTTTTTAAATCTATGGGTCCCTCTCGGGATCCACCACAACGAGGTGCTGCCAGGGGTTGATAAAAACCCCTTGGCGCCCCTAGACCCTAAGAAGAAGCCCTGTGCCTATTTTGCGCAGGGCCCAGAATATTTATTTTCGGGTTCTTCCGGGGGTATTTTTCCGGCCGGATATTCTGGATGGTCCACGGCCATCCGGATATCCGAAAAAATAACTTAGGTTTTATATAATTATCGGCACTTAGTCTTTTAAGGTAGCATATGACTGAACCGATCATCTTTAGCTCGAGGTTCGGCCTGCCCCTTCTTGCCATAAATTTATTCCTAGGTAATACTCTCTTTAGTTTGTGATAAGTTATAGTCAGACCACCCAAACTTATGGAACAATGTCTGACTAGCTTGTTCATAGGTAAAGTAGTAATAAAATATACTCAGATTATAACATCTTGGTTCCAGCATATGCGTGGCATTGGACCAAGACCACCCAAACTCATGGAACATGTCTGGTCCTCTGCCTGATTCATTTTTCTTAATGGTAATACAGGAAGAGGTTGAGCCACCCAAACTTATGGAACATGCTCATACCTCCTCGTTCAAAATCAAAAGAAACTGAGAAAACCCAAAATAAACAAGGCAACCAAGCCACCCAAACTTATGAGTCAGTGCTTGGTTCCCAAAAAGTCAACCACACAGAGCCCTCACGAATCAAAGCAACCAGATCACTCAAACTTATGGAACAATGTCTGGTTCTCCAGGCAATTCAAAAATACACATAGCACTGAGTCTCCCCAAACTTATGGAGACTTGCCCAGCCTTTGATTGACCCCGTCAAACACAAACAACACTGCCTTCCTCCCATGCTTTCCCCAGATGCAATCCCAGAATCTGCTTTCCGTTAGACCACAAAATTGAACTTACATTACACATGCATTCCTTTACATAAGTCTAAATCATGTCATGAAAGTCAAAGTAGTAATGCATATCATATACTCAGTCAAAACGTAGTACGAAATAAAGATAGGGGTTATAACTGGGTTTATAAAGGGAAAGCAATGATTACCTCTCAGTTCCCTGCCTCCAGAACTCCTCTTGAGTTCCGGCAGAGCTCCCGCAATCGGTGGACTGACTCCCCACAGAGTCTTGCTGTGGTCCTACAGGTTGCAATCCCGCCTGCCGCATTCCTCTCAGAAAAAGATTAGACTTAGACTAAGGAGGGTAGAAATAAGGGGTTTTAGACGCTCGAGATACAGGAGAGAGACTAACTCACCTCTCTGGAGAGGGCCTTGAAACCTTCATACGCCTGAGGGTCCCACAATGATGGTCAAAACGTGCAGTAACTTGGTCAAACAAATATCGGACTTCTGGTCGTTGACCTCCAGACGACACTTTAAACCCCTGCAAAACCTTTCTCTTCAATGAGCTCGGCCTCCCTGCAATTCGCGACCCAAGGTATGCTAGCCATAGGCAAGTCCACAACTTTCTGGCTCACTTCTAATCACTTACCATGGCGATCCCAAATATGTAGTTAGATTCGGAAGAGGGTGAGTAGAAGGGAAGTTAGCACGACGAAGGAGTGTCAAGAGAGCGAGATATGGTGAAGGCGCTGACTCGTATCTCGCCCGTTTCTTAGTGGAAACGGGCGAGCGAAGACTTGAATTCGGGTTTTGCAGGCGTGGCGAATTTGATGGTAGCATCAGATTCTGCATTTGAGTAGTGAGTCAGCCTACATCAGTAGTGGGGGCTGTGTGGTGCCTGGTAGGAGTAGGATGCAGGCGGGAACTGAATTTATCTTCCCGTATCTTAACAGGAGATTCATTCTCATTCCCTTTTGGTGGGTCAGGTGGCGAGCGGGAGTGGACGTGACAGACGCGAGAGGAAGAAGAGGAAAAGGTGAGGAAAGGTAAGGATGAGAAGGACTTACCTGGATGATCAAACTGATCATACGGGAAAAGCCGAAGGGCGGGGCTTCAAGTGCGGAGTTGCGAGGTTTCTTTGACGCAAAGTTGGCAGTGTATTCGGCCATGACCCGACGGTAGATTCACTTGATTTTGCTTGGCCGATTGGTAGGAGTAAAGTGGGAACAACCGCGAGTTTGGAGACTTACCTGTTGGCCGGTGCATTGCTCATCCTAGATAACGTACATAGATGAGTGTTGACAAAGGGTTCAGACTCATGTTGGGCGGTTACGACCAAGTTGTAGTATGTGCAACAACGACCAGCATTTGCATGCACCTTCCCACGCTCGTACAGCAGGTTCCGTTTCGTCTTACACGCTAGCAAGTTGCCGAATTAGTGAGAGAAACTGGCGAATTGCAGGTGTAAGTCCTAATCCAGTGGTTCAGCTCAGCTGGTGAGGCGAGTGAGTTGGCATTTAGGGGGTCTTCGGCTCAGTTGACCTTGGATATACAGGCAAGTTCGGTACCCGCCATGGAGAGATACGTCGTCGTAACATCGAGCAGGCTGCCATAGAGTTGCGTAGGCAGGCGGCTGTTAGGTAACAACGATGACCGAGGAGCAAGGTTGGGGGCTTACTTGCAAGACAGTCTCGGTCCGCTGCTGCTTGTTTGGATGAGAAGAAAGCGGCAAGGGGCGAGCCGCGAAAGTTGGAAGGTTTATCTGTGGCTAATTTGTTGCCTAGCTCCGATAAGCAAGGCAGCAGGAAACATTCATTTTTCCCATCAGCCTGTGTAGTGACAGACCGACTGCGAGGGTGCCAACTTACCTGCTGGCTGCGGTTAACTACTTCCTCCAATGCCTCCTCATTCCTGGCGATCTGCTGACAACGTGCAGTGATTAACTCCTCTGTGGTCAAGTGCGGATTATCGTCTAACCTGTTCCAGGTAGGGACGAGGGCCTCCACTGGGAAGTCAATCTCCCTTCCATACCATAGCTCCGGTGGAATGCATCCTGTCATTCTCTTTGGTGTCATGTTCTCGGAGAAGACTGCCTGCTTAAGGTACCGTGGCCAGTTCCCCAAATTGTCTGTTGCAACCTTAGCGATTGTGTTTTTCAAGGTCCGGTCCGGTGCCCCCTTTCTACTAGTGCATTTGCCTCAGGGTGGTAGGGTTCAATGATCTTGATAGGTACGCACAGTGTCTTAAGCCTGTTCAACACCTCCTGGTTAACAAATTATGTCTCATTGTCCGCTATAAACCTGCGCACGAAGGGGTGCCTTAGGTAGAAATCTTCCACCCAGTCGGCCACTACTTTCCCCGTCTTCTTCTTGAGAGCTACGGCTTCTACATAGCCACTAAGATTATCCCTTGCATCCAAGATGTATCTAAATTCATCCGTTGATACGGGCATAACCGCAAGATCGAGGTGAACAAGGTGTCCGGGTCCCAGTACCCTAGTGGGTCTAAGGGGCTCGTAAACCCGTATGGAGCTCCTCTCTTGACATATCAGACACGTCTGACAGTACGTTGCGACCATGCCTGCCATTCCCGGCCAGAAATACCGGGGCACAATCTTTGCAAGTGTCCCCTTTGACGACCTGTGACCCCCAGCTGGCCCATCGTGCATTGCCTGAATTACGTCCAGCTGCCTAGACCTCCCACAAACGACGCGTTTAGGCATCATCCCTTCCTCTCTCTTGAACAGGTGGCCATTTCTTAGGATGTACTTTTCTACTTCCTCCCTTGCCTTGGGACTGACTTCCGTAGGTTGTTTGTTCCCTACAAGCAGCAGTCCGATTTCTTTGAAAACGCCCTCGTACATCTGTACGAGGAAGAATTCTTGTTCGTTCTGATTGGTACCCCGCTCCTCCCGAGTGAGATTGACTAGGTATTGACACTCCTTCTGTGCCCAGGTTTCGGCCAATGTTATCACGGCGTCCCGTCCCCCTTCCACGGCCATCGCTGTCAGCTCTTCTCTGGCCCCTACTTGTGCTCCCCACGAGTCCTTCTCCTCTTTACGCCTGACCGTGGTGGCTGGTCCTTCCCTGAGTTCTGCAACTACTGGAGGCGCGCTTTTTTCCAAGGTTTGAATCAGCAACTGACCTGTTGTAATTGCTGGATATGCCATCTCATTATCCACCACAAGGGTCCCTCCTTCATACTTCAAGAAGGCGTCGATTGGTTCCACGTCCTCTACTCCTTCTGGTATGATACATACCCTGCTCAGCCCATCTGCCCTATTTCGAAGCCCCGCAATCCGCTCGACGAATTGCCATATGAAGCCTATCCATCTGCTAACGGTCGGGTCTATAGGCTTGTAGTTCTTTAGGGCCCTGGCGACGTTGGCAGGATCGATCCTTAGGATAAATCGCCTTCTGAACAGGTATGCCTGGAAGGTCTGAAGACAATGCAGAATCGCTAAGACCTCCTTCTTGAACTGTGAGTACCACCGTTCTGCCGAATTCAGGGTCCTACTTTCAAATCTGATTGGCCTTTCCTTGCCCTCCTCGCTTCTCTGTATCAATAGTCCTCCAACTGCCAGCGGTCCCCTATCTGTTTCTAAGATGGAGGGTCGTCCTACCTCGTCATTAAAACAGGGTGCTGCTAGAGTGACCTGATCGGATGACAGGATGTCTTTGAGGGTCTGGGCTGCCTCTTCCCTATCCTCGGTCCAATCCGTAGTGCCACCTTCCCTAATCATCGCGCGGATAGGTTCTGCTATCTTTGCGAAACATGTCACGAAGATCCTCCAGAATCCAACCACCCCTAGGAAGGCTCGTACTTCCGTCGTGGTAGGCAGGGGTGTCGACCACTGAGAGATCTTATCTGTCTTTGCTGAGTCGGGTTTCCTCCCATAGGCCCCACAACAAAATCCCAGTATAGTTACCTCCGGGACAGCCACGATGCTCTTGGGTCCGCTTGCAGTAATATTGTAAACAAGGAACCGCTGGAGTAAGTCCTTAATATCTTGCAGGTGGTCCCAAACAAACTTTCGTACACCCGGCTCGATCTTCGTCTCGTCCTTGTACCTTTTACGGATTATCATCTATATACGGTTCACGCTTTTCCGGAAACATATCCCCTACGACGACGAGCATCCTCCTCTGCGTTTCTGCTACCGGATTTGTAAAACCCATAGGGGTCACTTGCATTTGCAGCTGCCCTATGGGGGTGTGCATTGCGGTGTATGGTCTATCCCTCGCATCGAGTGGCAACTGGTCATATCCTGAGTACAGATCTATCAGGGAGTAAATGCTTCGCCCCGCATGAGATTCTGCCAACAAGTCCGCCTGTGGAAGCGAGCCTGCATCCGTAATTGTTACTGCATTGAGCTTCTGCAGGTCCTGGATCTACCTGAGTGTCTTATTGGGCTTCCTGAACACGAACCACTTGTTCGCGTAGGGGGATGTGGTGGGTTCAGCCACGAAAGAATCTATCTTGGCTCTAAGCAGGTCAGTGACTTCCGCTGCTATCCCAAACTCATAGGCAGACCCTTTATCATTCCAACATTCATGCTCTACCGTGTAGATCCTAACCCGAGGAACTAGCTTTGCGTTCAACCACCCTTTCTGGTGATCATTGAAAGCGAAAGCTAAATGAAACTCCTGACACGCCTTCCTTATCAACTGAGTTTCCTCTGCTGTTAGAAACCCTTCCACTCCTATTTTCATGGTATCTGCTACCTCATCAGGTATCCGATGCCCTTCCGTTGCTCGCCTCTCCCTTATAACCCGTAGGATTTCCTCTTCCTTTTCCATGACCTCTTCCTTTGATGTTTCTACCAAGATCGAGACCGGCTTGGCCTTCTTGCCTACGGGTTTGTACTTTCGCACACTTCCTTCTGGGATCGTTCTCCTAAAAAATGAACGGTCGGGATCAGCCTTGCTACTTCCAAGACGCGGGGCTGGATGCTGACTAGCTTCCCATTCAGACAGTAACCCTTTCGGACCCCATCCTCAAATCTAGCAAGCGCTACGGGGTCCACCCCCACTTTGTGGTACCTGATGGCCTTAACGAGTTGTAACAAATCTGGGATTTCAAGCACCACCTCTGACGTTTCGTTCCGGCCTTCCTTTGGTTTCGGCAGGCTGGCTCCAAATTCGACTTCCGACTCTGTTTCTGCCACCATAACTTCCAGGGCCTCATCCTCTTGCCTCCTCTTCTTCAGGGGTAGACCCATCTTGATCCACTCCTTCTTGCTAAAGACTTCCTCAATCATGATTTCTACTCTTTCTTTCATACCTTCCATCCGTGCGATTGCGCCTTTCCGTGCACTTTCTTCAAATGTCGGCTACCAGGTTGCCAGTTTACCCTTGGGAGGGTCCCCTCCAGTTCCGAGGAGTCGGAGGAGCTTTCCGCGCCCTGTCACCGGATCCTCTATGTCTACCATGAACGTGCCGTCATGCAAGTGCATGCCAATCATTTCTACATTGGCGCACCAAGGTCTCCCAAGGATTATGTCATGGTCCATTTCTTCCATGACGGTCATCCGTTGGAAAGACCAGATGGATTCCCGAATACCTGCCCTGACCGCGCATTTGGTGACATACCGAGTGAAGGGAATTGCTCCCCCCGCTCCCCGGATACTCCCTGCTACCTCCTTGTTTACTGTGCACCTCGTGATTGTTGCGAAATCCCATCGTATTAGAGTAATTTCTGCTCCGCCATCCACTAATACACCGGTGTGGTGGGTTCCGACCTGGATTTTAAGTTTTCCTACAGGCAGTGCGTGGAAGCTAAGTTTAGTGTCGGGTGGTGCTCTCATTACTTCGCCACCTTCTCGGTCCGGCAGACTCGGATGAATATCGGCAAAGGCTTTTTCCAAGTCTTCCAAGCCCCCTGGAATGCTTTGGAGGTTAGAGACTCCTTGTGGCGCCTCTGCCTCCTCAGGTCCTTGTTCCTGTGGTTCCGGAGCCTCCTCTACTTCTACACGTCTACGCGTCAATAGCTGTCTGAGACCCTTGAGCAGTCTCGGGCTTGCCTGCAGAATGGTCTGGAAGGATACTGAGACCATGGTGCCCAGGAGTTTACTTAGTGTGTCATCTAATTCGGGCAGCGTCAGAATCGGAATCTGATATTTGAAGTTCTTTTTTGACGTCATGGCTTTGTCTACTGGTTCTTCTTCCCTCGTTTTTTCGTAGACCTTCTCCTGTTCCCGGCCTCAGCTTCCTCCTGCTCCACACTAGCCCCCGCGGCTTCTTCCATTACTGTGTCTCGGATGAGTTTATTTTCCGCGCCAGCCCGTCGGGTAGTGATATTTACCCTATCCTGCCCATTGCCTTCTAGGATAAAATTGGCCTGTGGTCCCCGTCCCCTTGGATGGTCCCAAACAATCTCGGCTATCGGCTCTGCTTCTACGGCAACTATCTCTAAGTTATTCAGGAGGATGACGGCTCGCCGCATCCCTCCTGGCGAGTTCCAATTGATGTGCTCTCCCCTGGGTCCGAGGATCTTACCTTTGAGGGCCGCTCAATGTCGCGGTTGAGTCTGGGACAGGACCGAACGAAATGCCCGATCATGGTGCAGTACTTGCATTGTTCGTTGGTCGGGTCCCTTCTGCCAAATCCACGGTTTGCTACAGCTGCCGGAACCACTGCTTCTTGGGGCGAGAGGGTGGTTCTGGATACTTGCGCCTGCATCACCAATAGCGCGCTTTCCATTCTTTCTATCTTATTGTCAACCCCGTGCACCCTTTCATGCATGCTCTCTATTCCCTTTTTGACCTTATCCCCCGTTTTGCCGGTCAGATCTATGACCTCCCCTTCCTTAAGGAGGGCTAGTGTCTCGGTGACCAATGTCTTTTCCGGAAGGTCTGTTACGGTGCTGAAGTCCACATCTCTCGTGTACTCGAACTTACTGGTCTGCTGGTATGCTGACAGAATCTTATCCTTATCAAACTCGGAGAACTGCCTGAGGAAATATTTACTCATTATGCGGTCTGTCACCCCGGGAATTCGCAGAGCCACTAACGTAAATACCCTTAGGAAATCGTTGTAAGTCGTATAGTTTTTCCTCTGGACTGCTGCTAATTCGGCCTCTGTTGCCATTTTCTCTGCCTTCAGGTATTTCCTCATCATCTCGTTCCTGGTTTCTTTCCAGGACCCACTGGAAGCGGCGATGGCCATAATGTCCCTTCCCAAGCTTAGTGATACGTGCTGACCTAGATGATCCATTTTTTCCTCTTCTGTCCATTTCAGTAAGGCTGCTAGGTTCTCATAGTCTATTAGAAACTCTGTAATATTTGCTCCATCAAACGTGAGTTTCTTCTTTGCATCTGCGAGATACCCCTGGTTCTTGTTTAGTGCCCCGGTGAGGGTGGAGACTATCCTCTTGAGACCACCTTCGGAGCTACCTGCTTCTTCAGTAGCACTAGTCCCTTCCCCTTCCTTGTTTTCCCTCTGCTTCTCCCTGGTTTTCGGCGTTCCTTCTGGGTCAAACCATCCTAGCACCCTTTCCCTAAGGCTCCAGAGTCCGTCGAACGCCCCTGTTACTTTCGGCGTGGTTGGCAGTCGGCTAGTGCCGCTGTCGATGGCAGGCGGGGTCATAGCGTTTTCCGTCCCCTCCGCCGGGGGGTTGTTCTTGTCCTTCCCCTTCTTGCTAGGCGTTCCTTTGTGGCTATTATCCTTCTCCTCATAGTTGGCCTGGTCCTGACCGGTCCTGCGTCTCTCACGTGACCCTGCGCCGTGGGGGTCCATCTCATCCTCGGCCATCATCTGCTCGATAAGCCTTGCCTTAAATTCTGCAGTCTGCTTTTCTATCTCTGCCAATTTACGGCTGGCATCCGAGACTTTTGTCTTTTTAGGGGTGGCTCCTGCTGAGTTCCGAGGGCTTAGTCTTATATCGTTTCCCCCTTCCCTGTTTTCCTGAGGTCCCCTTTTACTACCCGCAGCTTTCCCCTAGCTTTCTCCAATTGAGGCGTCTTTTCCGTCTTCTCGGGTTCCTTCCAGTTTGGTTGACTCTCGATCCCTGGTTGATCCCTTGTTTCGTTCCCCATCCCCATTCATGCCCTAATTCCCTCCGCTTTGCTGGTAATTGATCCCTTCCTCAATTACCATTTCTTTACCTAGCCTGCACATGAAAAAAAAAAAATTCCGAAAAAAAGTGGTCGGTTGTTCATAACTGCCCTAGTCCCGACCCTAAAGCCCGCCTATTCCCATGTGGTTTTTTTTTTGTGCGTCTTATATTAATCGGTCCGACTCTCCTCACTTTTCTTTCCCAGGGCGTCCTTCAAGTTTTTCTCCCGCCGGGGAACTTGCCGCCGCTGCTTGGCATTTTATCACTGTCGCGCTTTGGCTCTTAGGGCGGTGTTTGAGCCCAGTGGCCTCCTTATCGAGGATGGCCCTTTTGGCTTTTCGACCTCCAAATGCCCCAAAGTTTTCTGGTGCGGGTGGTCTTCCTAGTTCCTCCTTGTCGTGCCATCAGCTCGGACGGAGCTCCAACCACTGCCCCCCCCCTTTTTTTTGGTGATAGCTGCCTTCTTATCTCAATACCCGTCTCTTATTTCCCTATTTCTTTTTGACGCATTTTCTCACGTCGGTCCTTCAGGCCTGCCTTGCTCATCCGGTTCTTCGAACAGGTCGGCCACCCCGGCAAGATAGTTTTCTCCCATCTCTATTTCCCTAACGATTATTGGTTCATACTCCTCAAACGCCAAGCGAGGCAGCCTGGATATCAAAATTTCAATCAGGTCAAGTAATTCCCAGGCCTGATTACCGCAGAACGGTCCATGCCTGACCGACACATCGTAAAACATCCCCCTTGTCTGTGGTCGGAAGTGGTGAATCCAGACCAGGGTCGAATCCACTAGGTCCCTAGCCCTCTCAAGGCTGCCAAATACCAGGTCCACCATGAAGCAGGGAACTCGGCACCTCAGCCCTGTCATTGGGGCCTTAAACTCTCGCCAACCTCCTACTTCCACCCGGGTCCTCAACCCCACATTCCTCCTCCCTCGCACTTCCTGGCCTACTCGGTTCAGTACCCTAGTAGCCCTTTGAAAGATTGGTAACAACCCATGTCCTAGTGCCAGCTCCGTTCCTACCATATGCCACCCAAGCTCTGGCAGGTATACGGTTCCCGTCACCCTGAGGTCAATGTACAGATCGTCCCCTGGTCCCCTATTAATCCTCATACCATCCCACAAACATTCCACCATCATGAACGCCTGGTCCCTCCCCAGGGTCACGACTCTCCATTCGGTATCAATCCCTCAGACCCTGTAGCTTGCCGGGAGCGACACCTCCCATCCGCCCCCACATTCCGTGGGTGGTCGCGGGTACGTGAGTCGTCGCGACATCCGGGCGCGTCTCATCGCCATTGTCGATTAGCGGTCCCCTGCACAGTTTAAACCGCAAGCGAGTTTCCTTATTCCATCCATTCCCCGACCTTTACCTGAGCAATCCTTGGTCCTTATCTCAATGCCTCTTTCCCCTTCTATCTCTTTCTTTTTTTCTCGGCTCTTTTACCAGCCTGTCTCTACTCCCGTCGGCTCATACAATCGGTGTAAATCATCCACGTACATCATCCCTTGACTTATTTCCCGCCGGATAACGCCCCATAGAACTTCATCACGTACGACCGGGGCCCTTGGCTTGGTGGTAAAAACGGCGCGCAGAGTCCGCAACACCTCATACTTCTGCTCCCCGCTAAACGGTCCCATTTCTAGGAAGGTCCAGTAGTATTCCCGGTGTATCGTTGTGTCCTCATATGTCAGGGTGGCAAGGTCAGCTACCGCGCGTCTGATAAGTTCCACTCCGCCTAGCCTTTCCAGCAGGAAGGGCGGCAGTCTCATCCGGACATTCTCACTGGGCAATTCAAAGCTCCCAACCATGGCTACCCTAAGGTTTGTTGTTACATCATCCATCCCTGGGTCCGCGAATTCGATTCCCGCCTGCCACACCAACTGCCACGCCCCTTCGAACATGCTCAATGGGTCCTCTCCTGACGCCAACATAACTCCAAACTCCCGCCACCCATCCTCTGATATATACAACTGCCCTTCTGCACGCACATGCCCCCGCGGGTCCAGGTTCCATTCCCCACTCTCGTCCACACACCATTCAACTTTCGTTACTAGGTAAACCATGTTTTCTGCATGTTCGACTCCGACCCAATCCGCCACCTGGTGCCAACCCCCACTTGCCGCCGGCAAGCTAACCTCTGCCCCGCCTGGTACTTCCCTAGGCGGCTCAATGCCTAGGGGGCGTTCCTCAAGAAACGTCCTTCTTCGCGCCATCGGACACTCGTCCTTGATCTCCTAGCTCACGATCCGCACTGAACCCTACAATGGCCAGACATCCCGTTTCCTCATCTTAGCAATTTTTCTCATATTTGCCTGGCCCCATGGCTTTCTTGCGCTTAATCGAACCACAGTACTTCGGACAGTTTGAACACATCATCCACATAGCAAGGTGTTGCTGCTACCTCCCGGCGGATTACGGCCTCCCTAGTTTCCGGAGCCACCTCCTGCCGGTCATTCCTTTCGATGTCCAAAATGATGAGGACCTCCCTGACTCTATCGCCATGGAAGGGTCCGTATTTCAAGGACGTCCTATAGAATTCCCCTTCCAGCCATGCACAGTTCACGTGTATTCGCTCCATCGTGTCGGCTACCTCTATTACGTGATAAAAACCCCCAAACCAGTCTGCCACGAATTCGGGCACCCAGGTCTTGATTCGGGCGCCAGGCGGTTTAAATTCCTTCCATCCTCCCATCACGACTCTACTGCTGACCGTATCCCACCCTTTGTTAGCAAACCTTTCTCCCGCCTGCCGAGCCCTTGCCTCAGCATCCCCTAAAAGCCACATTGGGTTTTGTCCTGCCGCGAGCGTTGTGCAGAACAGGTGCCAACCTTGTTCAGAGAGAACGATCGTCCCGACTGATTCCACCCTTCCTTCCGCAATCTCTTCCCATCCTTCCTCTTCCCTCAACGGGTTCCAGACACACTCTATCCATAGGTACGATAGCTCCGGCACAATCTCATACCCCCGCCAATCACATGTGGTCTCCTTCCATTCATTGATTGGCGGTATTGACATCTCTACTCCCTTTCCGACTCGTCTTGGTTTCCATGTGCAACCCCATAATTCAAGTTCCCGGGCCATCGCTCCCTACCTGCACACAGTCGACAACTCGTTTCCCCCAGGTAAGCCCCCCCTTCAGAAGTCCCAGTCCTCTATCTCGTCCCCGTCCTCCTCATCACTGAAATCCTCCTCCTCGTCTAAGAACATCTCTTTCACCCCTTCCAAGAAGGTTTCCCCCGCCGCCATGTTTCGGTAAACTATCTGCCAATACACCAGACTAGGAACAAAGACTTCGTCCGCGCTGAGGAGGTTTAACACCTCATCTATTTTTTCTGCCCAGTTTCCTTCAAACGGCCCTGCTTCCACCGACAGTTTAAAGAAGTCCTGTCTAGCACATTGGTACAGCCTTAGGCGTGTCATCGATTGGCATATACGTTCCAGTCTATCCCTGGTCCCAAAGACTGCATCCACCAGAAACGGGGGCAACACGCACCTCATTGTCCTAAGAGGACGTCTCATATTTTTCCGGTCCCTGAGTTCCACTCGCACCTCCATCCTTTCCATCTCCATTTCTACCCGCTGACATGCTGCCCATACCACGTCCCATTCCGCTTGCCTAAGCAGCTGATCCGGTGCCGTGCCCAATACTAGTCCCACTACCATTGCATTTTTCAATTCCTGTGATAGGTAGACCCATCCTCGAGCTTCTACTGTTCCCCGGAATTCTAGGTCCATCAAGCTAGGTGAAAGTCTCGTCAGGCTGACCTTAGTCCAGATTGTCTCTATCCAGAGGAACGCGTCCTTCTCGTCCAGCATCACGATTTCATAGGCCGGTTCTTGGTCGGTCCACGTCCCTTCTTTCGGAAGAACAACAGATACCTCATCCTTTACCTCTATAGGCATTTCCGGACCACTAGAGTAGACAGGAGGCGACAACCATCGCGCCATCTTGTTTCCCAGTGCTTGTCCTGTTTTTCCACATGAGAGCACCACACAGCCCCTCATGGTCAGATGGTTTGCTTTTCCTTTCCTAGATGAGAGTTGTTTTCAGACCCCTCATCCGGGTCTCCCTAACTTTTCTTATCCGTTTCCCAGGTGCCATTGCCCTACCATACCCCCAATCGATCATGCTTAGCCGGACTTGCTTTCTCGGGGTTCCTTTTCCTTCCGACTCCTATCCAGCCTCTTCCTCATGTTCTCTCACTCGTGCGGACTTAGACTTGGAGGTGAGAATAGACTTAGAAGCTCGTTCCCCAACCACCATTCATCAGGCAACTTTACAGAGGGGGGCACAAAAAACAAAACTCAGGCAAACGTCGTAAACAGGTCGGTCATCTCCTCACCGACCTTTTCCCCAGAAATGGTCTCTCCACTGTTACTATCGGCAGGGTTTTATCCCATACCTCAAGCACAGCTCAACCGTCGCGAGCGCGGTACCCAGACTCCAGTGGGGGGCCGCACTCACCTTCTTGCCCAGAATACCCCATCCCGACTTGCCGCTAGTGTACCCACCGTTAATCTCGGGAATCACCCCGCACATCTCGGTAGGGTCATTGGAGTCAGCCGTCCAGGCACTCACTTCCATTGGTCCGATAAGGAACAACCTTTTTCCAAACCAGGCTACGAGAAGCTACTGATCGCCTCCCAGGCTCCGTCTTTGCCCCCATGCAATGGTGCTCCCTCCGCCAGTCCACAGGCTAGGCCCCGCCTGAGGAACGTTTCACACCCCGCCCGACAGATCAATCGAGCCGAAGTCCGTCACCGCACGGACGAGAATGCTAATAAGCACTCGACGTGACAAACTCCCGCTAGACAGCGGGGTGGTCCGACCCCTGCACACAAACAAACGGCAGTCTGCAAAGAGAACGATGTTTGGCAACCCGCAGTGGCCGGTGCAGACCCCCCCTTTCCTTCCAAATGGCAGGACGTTCGAAATCCCAATCACGCAATCACAAGTCCCAAGTGGGACACACACAACACAAGTGCCTTCCCCCTGGTGCACCCAGCGTTTCCTACCCATAGCTCACAATTTTTCTCTCGGGACAGTGCGTGCCACTCACCCCTAACTTCCATACATAGTGCCCGGTTCTTTTTCGTGAGCATCTTCAAAGGTGAGCTAGTTTTCTTGGAGTCTAGTAATACCCTTCATACCCTTATCTTCGCTTGCGTGTTCGTTCATAGGGCAGGATTGTTCCTTCTCGATTACCGTTTGTGTTCATATGAGGTTCCTTCAAGCATTTAAGTGTGGTGCACGGAGCCCGGTGGGCTCCGAAGAGGAGAGAAGGCACCCAGGTCGGTCGGATCGTGCCGCCACGGGATTTTCATTGGAACCCGAACTAGCCCGGAATCCCAACCGCCTGCCAGGTAACCAGAGCCCTTCTCACACGAAGAGGAATCGCGCNGCCGCCACGGGATTTTCATTGGAACCCGAACTAGCCCGGAATCCCAACCGCCTGCCAGGTAACCAGAGCCCTTCTCACACGAAGAGGAATCGCGCCGCCACGGGATTTTCATTGGAACCCGAACTAGCCCGGAATCCCAACCGCCTGCCAGGTAACCAGAGCCCTTCTTTCACACGAAGAGGAAGAGTCGACCTGCAGCTTGCCCAAGGCTTCCCTGGCCTGACGAACATAGCCCGAAGGAAGGAGGACTAGAGTCACCTCCAAAGGAGATGGCTGATCAAGTGTGCAACATGCATGTTATTCCTCCAGGCCTAGCCATGCGCCCAGCCACCCTCAAATCTGATTCACTCAAGGGATAAAGCATACACAAATCCATATCCCTTATCTTCATGCTTATGTTCACTGTCATGCGTCGGGCGCCCCCCTCGAGACCGTACGGGTCAGTTTAACCCAATACCCGGCATCTCCACCAATTTTGTAGGGGCCGTACCTTGAAGGACTTTCGAGCCTTGGTCGACCCCACAGCGGGTCCCATTTGGCTCGACCCGCCCACGCTCACGCTCAGGGCGCGGGTCGTTCGTCTCAGGACCACCCCCACGTAGTGCTATGAGATGGATGGGGATAGAACACTTGCGAGAGGGCTTTACATTGGGGGATGTAGCTCCGCTCTCGCGTCAAGATGGTAACTCTTTGGGCACTCGTGGTGTTTTCTCGCTTCAGCTAGGTCTGACCAGGCAAATGCTCCTTCCAATACGCAGGCAGTCCAGGGAGTTCATTGAGAGTTTCATCTTCTTCTCGTGCGCAGGTCAAGCATCATCCATTGGGCCACGCAAATTTTCACTAAGCCTAGTGGCTCTGGGCCGCCCCGGCAGCATCCTTGGGGTAAGGCGGCGTTGTCGGACCCCTAGCCGCTATTTTTTTGCGAGAGCCACTAGGCATCGCATCACCTATCCAAGACCGCCCTTAGTCTTTCCAGGGGTCGCATTGCACAAGAGAGAGATATTCCATGCAACCTCCACACAAACCAAGTTCATGCATCAGCCATCCACCCAAGCGCCCGGCCTAAACTCGTCTCGCATCCAAGGCTTAAGCCGGATCCAAGTCCTTTCCTTAGCCAATCTCCCACCCTAGTCCTCATCCGTGGTTTCAGCCCTATCCAAATCGTCCCAGGCTACTCACCTGCGCAAGACCACACAAGACAAATGACCAAGTACAATCCCCATTGGGGTCAACACATCGCCCCTTCCCTCAATCCTAGGCCGCCTTTGCCTTCCCCTTATGAGTTCTCTTCCCTTTCCCACAAGCAAGTCATGCAATCGCCTTAGTCATTCAGTCCGAAAGGATGGTTGAGTCAAACTGACCTTGTTACAAAAACAACACTCCTTTCCGCTGTCACAAATGTTCTCAATAGTCTCGTATCCTTTTCATCTTGGTGGCACAAGGGACCGGCAGCCCTTCCCTTGCCCTCGCCTTCCACCAAGTGAGAACCAGGTTCCTTTTCGTTCGTTCCCTGACAATGTAACAGGTGAGGGTAGAGGTTAGTCACATGCCATGGAGGGGAAGGGGTGACGGAAGGGTTAAGGGTTAAAGAGTTTTGAAGGAATGAAGGAAGAGAGAGAGAGAGAGAGAGAGAGAGAGAGAGAGAGAGAGAGAGAGAGAGAGAGGCGAGAAGCTTCACATCCTAATCGACCTTGCTAACTGACCTACCTTAACCGATCCTACCCGAGGTCTCGCGCATCCCCCTTGCGACCCCCTAAGACTTTTGGGGGACGGGTGTGGGTGATGAAGGAAGGAGGAGGGTTGGAGGTGGTCGGCTATGGTGGACGGGTGTGGGGGATGGAGGAAGGAGAAGGGTTGGAGGTGGTCGGCTATGGTGGACGGGTGTGGGTGA